TATAAAATTGGAATAAAACACTCTAAAAGTAAGTGTTAATAATGATGTAGACTCTAAAAACAATATACCCAAGAAACTTTTGTGGGATTTTTGAAAATAAATAATTTAATGAAATTTATTTTACATATCACTGTAGTACAATATCTAATTGTTCTTAATTATAAAAAGACAGAGTCAGATAGTGGAATAAATTCTGAAAGATCAGAGAAGTAAAGGAGTCAAAGACTATAAAGATCTTTTATGTCTACTGAATCCTTAGACCAAAGGAGGCAAGATCGTGTTTCCATGAATACTCTGATCGAATGCGTGGGCTCCTGTCCCCTTTCACAATATATTCCTCACTCTACCAAGTCAATTTGAGCAGTATAGGTGCTAACTCTTCTTTGAAGTTCTGGTAGAATTCTGCTCTGAACTCATCCAGACCTGGGGTTTTGTTGGGGAAAGGGGAGCTGGGAAGGAGTCTCTAATTTTCTTTTTTTAGATAGGGTTTCTCTGTAGCTTTGGAGCCTGTCCTGGAACTAGCTCTTGTAGACCAGGTTGGCCTCAAACTCACAAAGATGTGCCTGTCTCTGCCTCCTGAGTGCTGGGATTAAAGGCATGTTCCAGTACCGCCCAGCTGGAGACTCTGATTTTCAAGTCACAGTAAGACATATGTATGTATATTTTCATAGGCAAAGCCCAGTTACTATAAATTTTTCAGAAATCACAAATCTTGCATAGAGTATGTATGAATTAATTCATGTAATGGAATATGATTTTAAGATGTGTTACATGAATTTATGCTGTGGAACATTTGTTTAATGATGCAAAGATGTATTGCATTAATTTTTTTCATTTGTTTAACTCTATAAAGCTGTGTTAATGTGCCTGCCTAAAACACCTGATTAATCAAATATAGAGCTTAATAGCCAACAGCTAGGCAAGAGAGAGAAATATGTGGGGCTGGTGGGCAGAGAGAATAAAGAGGAAGAGATATCTAAAAATGCAGAGGAGTGAGAAATGAAGAAGAGTAAGAGTCCATGAGCAAGCTACCCAGACACCTGGTCAGCTAAAGAGTCAGAAGGAAAGAGATATGTAAATAAGCAAAAGAAAAAATCTCAGAGGAAAATGTGTTAAGGAGAAACGGGACAATTTCTTGGTGGTAGTATATTTTATCATGTGGGCTCTGTTTGCTAGAGGCAGAGAAAGGTTTACTTTAAGAGAGGCAGAGACCTTGTAGTTATTTTAGGAAGATCTACCATGAAATATTTAAATTGTGTTTATAAGCAGTCAGCTGCAGGCTTCTTGGTGTCTTCATGGACCTAGAAACTCCAGAGTTGTGATAATAAACCTGTCTCTGTTCAGTGCCTCCTCGGTGAAGCTAGACTCTCAGGAATCTATGGAATGCAGTGCAGCCAGTCAACAAAGATGCAGCTTTAATCCTAGCCATGCTGCTAAACAGATTAAAAACTCATTTGCAGACCTCAGAAGAACTCTAAAGCACAGGCTGAGAGGACACACAGAACAACAAGAGGTGGGTAAGCACCCACCCCACTAGGCACCCACTCTCCAGGCCCTTGGCTCCATACAAAACTTTAGGCCCTCCCCCACCTGCATCAGCTTCTCTAGTCAGCCAGCTGGTAAGATTCCTACAGGTAGTGTGCTCCAAATCCACCACCCTCTCTATTGCACCCTGTAAGCTACAAGTCCCACTCCACCCCCGAAACCTTCATATCTCCTGTGACCTAAGAGGAACTTGCAAGCACAGGTTGCTACTGCACACAGCAGACAAAGAGGTGAGTGAACACCCACCCAGCATGATACCCCAGTCTCTAAGCCCTCAGTACAGTAAGGTTTTGGTTATCCAGCTAGTCAGCAGACAAGCTTCCAGCAGTTTGGCTGCTCCAAAACTCTCAGAGTAGGAGGCTTAAAGCTAGAAGTCCTACTCTGGCCCCAAAACCTCTATCCTGCATGGCTTCAGAGGAACTCTGAAACAAAGACTGTTACTGCACAGAGAATACCAAGAGAGAAGACCAAGACATTGGACCAGGACATTGGACCAAGACAGAAGGCCAAGAGAGTCCTCCGTCACTCCATAAGACACAAACAGTGTCAGTACAGAGCACGTAAAAACAGCTCCCAAAGACACAGACAGTAACTGCAATGATTGTACCAAGAGGCAAAGACTCTGTTAGCAACAATTTGAGGAAGAGATGGGTAGGTACCAATGGAAGAGCTTATTCAACAACCTAAAAAGCAACATAGTAACACCAGAACCCAATAGAAATACTACAGGAAGACTTGACCAGCCTAAACCAGAGGAGGCTGAAAGAAGTAAGTTTAAACATAACTTTAAGAGGATGATGGACAGATTTAAAGAGGAAATAAAAAATTTACTTAAAGAAATGGAGGAAAAGGCAAAGAAAAAAATTGGAAGAAATCAACAAATATCTTAAAGAAAACCAAGAAAAAAATAATCAAACATGTGAAGCAAAGAGTTGAAACACTTAAGACTTGAAAACTGAAATAAAGGCAATAAAGAAAACACCAATAAGGGGAATTCTATAAATGGAAAATCTATTTAAACAAATGGGAACAACAGATGCACACGTAACTAACAAAATAGAAGAGGTGGAAAGAAGAATATCAGTAGTTGAAGGTACTAAAGAAGAAATAGATTCATTGGTCAAAGAGAATTTTCAATTCAACAAATTTTTAATGCAAAACATCCAGGAAATCTGGGACATCATGAAAATTCAAACCTAAGAATAACAGGGATCGAAGAAGGAAAAGAACTCCAGCTCAAAGGCACAGAATACATATTCAGCAAAATGGTTGAAGAAAACTTTCCCAACCTAGAGAAGTATATCATTATGAAGGTAGAAGAAGCTTATAGAACACCAAATAGATGGGAACAAAAACAAGTCCCCTCACCATATAATAATCAAAATGCAGAGCATACAGAACAAAGAGAGAATACTAAGACCTGCAAAAGAAAAAAAGCAAGTAATATTAAAGCAAACCTATCAGAGTTACACCTGAATTCTTAAGTGAAACCATGAAAGCCAGAAGGTCATGGACAAATGTGCTGTAGAGAGTAAGAGACCATGGATGGAACACAGATAATTAGCCCCAGCAAATCTTTAAATCACCATCGATGGAGAAAACATAATATTCCATGACAAACCCAGATTTAAGCAATAATTATTCAAAAATTCTAGCATAAAAAAAGAAAGAAGTAGAAGAAAAACTGCAACTCAAGAAAGCTAATTGTACCCCCCAAAAAAGCAACAGATAACTCCCTATCAGCAAACCCCAAAGAAAGGAAACACAAGCACTACCACCAAAATAACAGGAATTATCAATCACTGGTTATTAATATCTCCAAATATTATTGGACTCAATTCAATTATAAAAAGACACACACAGGCTAAGAGAATGGATATGAAAGCAGAATATATCCTTCTGCTGTATATAAGAAACACACCTCAACCTCAAGGACAGGCATTGCCTCAGAGTAAAGGGTTGGGAAAAGATTTTCAATAAAATGAACCTAAGAAACAAGCAGGTATAACTATCCTAATATCTAACAAAATAGAGCCTTCAAACTAAAATCAATCAGAAAAGATGGGGAAGTACACTTTATAGTCGTCACAGGAAAAAATCCATCAAGACTCAATCTCAATCCTGAACATCTGTCCCTGAAATACAAGAGAACACACATATGTAAGAGAAACTGTGCTAAAGCTTAAATCGCAGTCAAATCCTACACACAGACTGTAGGAGACTTCAACATCTCACTCTTCCCAGTGAAAAGGTCAACCACACAGAAACTTAACAGAGAAATAAGACAACTAACAGATGTCAGAACTCAAATGGACTTAACAGACATCTAGAGAACATTCCTCCCAAACACAAAAGAATATAAATTCTTCTCAGCACCTCATGGACCTTCTCTAAAATTGACCCCATACATGGTGATAAAGCAAACCTCAACAGACACAAACAATTGTAATAACGACCTGTGTCTTATCAGATCACCATGTTTTAAAGTTAGAATTCAAAAACACTAATCACAGAAAGTCTACAAACCCTTTGAAAGTGAATTGTGCTCAGTTGAATCAACAGTGGGTCAAAGAAGAAAGAAGGAAAGTGTTACGAGCTGGGGGACTTCAGCTCCAGGTTCTTTTCAAGTAATATCTATGAGGACTCTGCGCCCTTCTCCCCAGAGAGTGATGAGTAACCAGACCAAGAAAGAGAATTGTTTTTTTTTTTTGTTTGTTTGTTTGTTTTTCGAGACAGGGTTTCTCTGTGGTTTTTGGAGCCTGTCCTGGAACTAGCTCTGTAGACCAGGCTGGTCTCGAAAAGAGAATTGTTTTTATGATGATTCTTTACTAGCAACTTCAATATCCAATGCATCAATGGGGTTTACAATCTCAATAGGCATGGGGGATTGATAATGGGCAACACACAGGCACTTCAATATCACAGTTATTAATCCTATTAAACCTAATACATAAAACCAATTCATAACTTTAATCTAACTTATCACTTATCTATAAAATACTTCTTAACCTTAATACAACTTATCCATTATTTATCTATAATTTTAATACAACTTATCCATTACTTATCTACAAAACACTCCCTAACCTTAACTTATCCATTAATTATCTATAAAACGCTTCTTAACTTTAACTTATCCATTAATATTTCCTAATCTTATCAATTATCCATAAAATATCTCTTAACATTTCACACACTAAACATATGTATTAACACATCTATGCTCTTCTCTTAACCTCTCATACACACATGAAATAGCATCATATGACCTGGTATTCCCTGGCTTAAAAAGGGCTTTTTGAATTTCTTCAGGCTGGGCTCTTGTCTGCACTGGGGGCTGGGTAGCGAAGATCGACTCTTGACCCCGTAGTCTGCACTCCGGAGATAAGGTTCCAATGTTCCAGGCTGGTATCTGGTAGGGTCTTGGACTTGGCTTTTCGGGTGACTGAGTCTCGGGAGGCAAGGCTTTAGTTCTCTATTCTCGAAGACGAGGCTTTGATCTCGGGATGGCAAAGCATCCTGAAAGGCATAGTATCTAGTCTGTTCTCGGGAGACAGACCTTCAATGTCCACTCTCAGGGAATGAGGATTTGCATTCGGGATGCAAGGCGCTAAATATCTGTTTTCGGGAGACGAAGCTCTGTACTCGGGAGACAGAACATTAAATGTTCAGGCAAGGCGTTTAATATTGCTGCTTTTCAGGAGGCAGCCTAGGAGAATCTCTCTTTCCACGGAGGCCTGGTGCCAGTGCCATTGTGAGAAGTGAGATAACCATCCTGCTTCAGTCACCTCTTTTAAGTCAGTTCAAAACTGCCCCTCGTTTGATCCTTCTGATAACCAGGTGTCCTAGGTTATCAGTATCAACTGGCCACAGAAGGGTGGGGGTCCCTCTTTTGTGGCAAGATTATTTCATTACACCAAGTTACATTCATTCTTATTCTATAAATTTCCTGCTCTGTCTACACTACAGATTCCCCTTTATTTATTCATTCAGAGGCAGTTTCGAGCTCATTCCAGTGACCAGCAGTGCAAGGCTCGCCCACTCACCCTGCCGGCCTCCTGTGGCTCCCAGCCGCGCTCCCCGCCCCCAATGGCAGCCTGGCGCCTAACGCAGGCTCGCCCAATCCAGCCCACCAGGCTGATGGGGGCTTGAGGGCCACAATGAACCACCTACCTTTGTAGTCACTTCTAGGCCAGTCGCATCAGAAAGAGAACCTCAGGAGCAAGTATGTGTTGCTTACTACAGTTGTGTGGACCTGACACTGTATGAGGGGAAGAGAGAAGGACTACTACTGGGGTGTGTATCTACACATAAGATAAAATGCCCTAAAATTAGGTCAGAGAGGTGGCCTCAGAGCCCCGCAAGCATACTAAAAAGCTTTAAATTGTATGTCACAGATGCGTGAATGAATACTTCAATGAATTTTTCTAAATGGAGTCTTTCATGTCTCAAAAACATTCTTAATTTATCAATGAGTGTGTGTATAGATATATATATATTAATATAATGTATTATGCATGCATGTATTTTATAAACTTCCCAAGGGTACTAAGCATCAGAAATGCAAAGCTAAATGAAACGTAATCTTATCCCACCAAGAGCACAGCAAATCCAGCCATTACAGGAAATAATAGGAAGGATCCTCAAAAACAAAAAACCCGGAAATAGAACTGCTATTTGTTCTAGCAATCCCCAGCCTGGACAAACACAAAGGAAGGAGAAGCAGTGTGCTGAAGAAGACCTACACTCTCTTTTCAACACAGTGCTCACAACAGACAGACGACAGGATCATCCGAGGAATCCACTGACCAGGAAATAAAAAAAAAAAAAAACAAAGTATGGGTGCATATGCCGTGGCACATTATTTTGCCTTATAAAGAATAAAATTCTGTCATTTGTGGACATGCAGATTAGACCTGAAGACATTCTGGCCAATCAAGCACTGAAATATAATTGCCAGGTATACATCATTTATATGTAGAAGCCAAAGTTAATCAGTCTCAAAGAAGTATAAAATTATAGTCATCAGAAACCGCTAAGGGTACGGGAGAGAGGATGGACAACAGGCGAGGCACAGGTGCTTACTTGCATGAGAACAATACTTTCTGTTCTCTGACACAATAGAATAAGTATGATCTACAGCAACAAATTCACATTTGCAAAATAGCCCCTAGAGGGCTGCCAAGATGGCTCAGCAGGTAAAAGAACTTGTTGCCCAAAATGACGACCTGAATTCTATCCTTCCTGGAATCTACAGGGTAGAAGGAACAAACCCACTCCTGAAGTTGACTTCTCAAAGTCACACATGCAGTAGAACACACGTGTGTACATGCACACTCACAGAGAGAGACAAAGGCAGAGGAAGAGGAGGAGGGAGAACTGTCTGAGGTGATACAAGTTATCCTGACATCGTCTTCCCATCACACACATACTGAAAGACTAGCCCATTTATATGTAAGCTTAATATGCATCACTTTGAAATAAGTGTGGTTAAAAAGACAAAAGATAAATTATAGTTACTGATATCAGAAGAGAAAACTGAGAAGACACTTGGGGCCCTGCTTCAACTAGCTTAGCCTTAAACAGAAAAGCTTCTCCTTGTAGTGAGAAGGTAACTGTAAAGCCCAAGATTGCACGGGATGCTGAGAATAGAGGGCCTGGAAATGACCTTTATCATACCCTTAAGGAACAGGAAACACAGGAGGAGGAAATAACATAAAAGCCTAGGAACTGAGGATGGGAAGAGGAGCTGCAAAAGAATAGCCAAAAACGAGACAGCTATGCCAACTCACAGCACAGTGTACACCAGCATGCACACCGTGATCCACGGGGATCAGGCCCCGAGGAGTCAGCCATGGAGGTAGAAGGGACACACAGTTGGGAACATATTCTGGGGGTGGGGGAGGCATGGTATCCAGTTATATAGCCACTGGTGAGCCCACCAAGAGCTGATGGCTCGTTACAAACTCGGGACACTCGGATGGCCCAGATTAAACTCTGTGAGACACTAAACAAAACCAAGACTAGTAAATAAGCAGAGAAGGTTTGTATAGGGGACGGGGAATGAACATGGTGGGAGGGAGCTGGGCAGGCAGAATAGAAACTGAAAGAATAGAATTCACTAATAAAAAGTCATTTTCTTAACAAAAGGAAGTCAACTTTATATTTTAATTAAAACCTGGGTCCTGGGAGAGCTTCAAAGAAAGAACAGATTGATTTCAGACTTAGTAAAAAGAAATTCAAAGTGATTGGGAGAAGAGAGAAAAAGACATTGAGCAGAGACAGAAGTGAGCGTTTTTAATGGGATGAGTGATATAGTCACCAAGTAGTGTAAAGATGGCAATAACACCGAAATTAATTTGTAGGTCAATGTCACTCCAGTGAAAATTCCTAATATTTTCCAAAGACCTTGTCAAACATTTGCTAAATCAAAGAAGCGAAAAGAAAAAAGAAAGAAAAGTAAACCCAGCTAAGAATAGCGATGAAAAAGTATTCCTCCTCTTACCCCTCACTTCATTCTTTCCCAAAGGCTCGGTTACTAAGGTAGTGTGCTATTTGTAAGGAGACAGACCAGCATAGCAGGTAAACAGATAAAAGGGCCATGAGCTACCTATGAAGCCATGATTATCTGAACAAGTGTTACAAATAAGTAGACAAATAATAAATGCACTAATAGATGATACTGCCACAAGGAGAGTCACACCCTCGGGCCAAGATAATTACAATTTTTCCTGATCGCATTATCTCCCATCACACAAGAATGCCGGTGATCTCCACCCTTGCCCAACTCAATGCAGTTCCAATTAACTGCCACAGTGACCCTTGTTCAACTCTATGGTGCATAATGGCTCTCACTTACAAAATCCCTTCAACAGCTCCTTCCACTACCTCATGGGAGTCGCAACAAAATGAGATAAATTACTCTGTGAAGATGCTCACAGGGCCCTGCACACAATGACAACAGATACGACCGTTTCTGTCCCCTCTTGCTCATCAATCCCACATTCCCTTCTTTACTGAACGACTTTGTCCTCCTGGCACTACTTCAGCGGAGGAGGTGGGTGTCTTCATGGGGCAGAGAGACCTGCATCAGCCACCTGTCAGGAGCAGGACAACTGCGCCTGGAGCTGCAGCCAACAGGGGTGGGTTCACACGCTCCACAGCTCTACACCAAGAGTTCAGGAGAAGCGACCAACACTTCACTAACACTGAACACATCAACCATGCATGCACTGACATACATTTTCCCTCAAAAGTGTTATCAGTCTCCACCTAAATCTACCTGGTTTCCCTCAGGTAGATATAGGATTTCAGGAACCCTGGAGGAAGGGACCAAGGTAAGAACAACAGATAAAGGGAAATAAATCCCATTCAAAATCTTGTGCATTGATAAATACTATCATTGCTGGTGATAGTAAAGCAGGCTCTTATTAAAGAGCAAGCACTGTATGTATATTTGTTTACCTCTCATGACAAACAACTGACTCAGCAACATGCATGATACTTGGTTTTGTACAGAGAAAAATAATATAAAAGAACATTTGAAATACTCTGAGTCATAATAATTATTAAAACAAAACTATCTGTAGAAACCAGGGTAATGCATATTAAGAGATAACATCCCACACCAGTATTAGAAAGCAGAGAAAAGAGAGACCAGAGCTGGGATGGAAGCGACAGGAATCGGTGTGGAGTGCCATACCCAGCTACTTAGAGAAGTACTGGAAATAACTGATAAAGCTGAATCTGGCTGGCATTCTACACATCCAGGATGCATCAGCTACTACAGATAGAGACAACCTCCAGCGTGTGTCCAGAAGTGGTAGGGTTCACTGCGGAACTTATCTGCAGGGAGGGAAGTGTCATAAGACCCCAAACTCCCATCAATAGAAAAACATGTTATTATTGATTTAAAATAAATATCACATAGCATTTAATATCAATGGGTCAATTGATATACATGCTTTTCCTCACAAATCCATATAATACAGCTGAGCAAAGAGAGTAAGGGGCAGAATGTCACTCAGTGGTCGCCATGTTTGCCAAGTCTGCTCGTAGGCACAAATGTTCTGGCTGGAATGAATGAGATTGAGGGAATGGATCTAGGACCTTCTGTGAATGCCAAAAATCTTTGGAGGCTCACCTTCTGTATAGATAGTCATCCATAACATTCAAGCTTGTAGTCATGTTTGGTAGGTTTTCTAGATGTACAAAAATGCATTTCAGATAGATAGTTATTCTTCAAGCCTTTCAAAGACCTTCAGAATATGGCATTTAAAATGTTTAAGAACTTGGGACTTACCATGACAAGAGACACAACTGTTCCTGGCAGCACCAATTACTTCAAGAGGATGATGGGCACCAAAGAGGCTCAGAGACAACCAAGTATTTGCTTCTGGTATCATAGGTGTAACAGAAGAAGGAGCATCAATTAGTGGGTTTTCCTGTTGATTCTGAATTCTCACTGACAGCCCCAGAAAGAAGAGCAGGAACAAGGGAATTCTCTGTACCTGGGACTTTCACATACAACATTTAAATACTTAGTATATGGGCTCTCCTGTAAATAATGAGAAAAGCAATCTATAGACTCAGTGCAGTCCCCATCAAAATCCCAACACAATTTTCACAGGTCTTGAAAGATAATAATCAACTTCATATGGAAAAACAAAAAACCTAGGATAGCCAAAACAATACTATGCAATAAAGGAACTTCCAGAGGCATTACCATCCCTTACATCAAGCTCTATTACAGAGCTACAGTAATAAAAACAGCTTGTTATTGACATAAAAGCAGAGAAGTTGACAAATAGAATCAAATCAAAGAACCAGATATTAATCCACACACCTATGAAAACCTGAGTTTTGACAAATAAGCTAAAATTATACAATGGAAAGAAGAAAACATCTTCAACAGATGGTGTTGGCAAAACTGAATGTTGATATGTAGAAGAAAGAAAATAGATTCATATCAAATGAAATGCACAAACTCAAGTCCAAATGGATTAAAGACCTCCACATAAATCCAACCACAATGAACCTGATAGAAGAGAAAATGGGAAGTAGTCTTCAATGCATGGGTACAGGAGACCTAAATATAACCCCAATGAGAGCAACAATGAATAAATAGCACCTCCTAAAACTGAGAAGCTTCTGTAAAGCAAAGGACACTGTCATTAAGACAAAAAGGCAGCCTAATGAGTGAGGAAACCCCACATCAGACAAAGGACTGATCACCAAAATATATAAAGAACTCAAGAAATTAGACATTAAAATTTTAAATAACCCAATTAAAATGGGTACAGATCTAAACAGAGAATTCTCAACAGAAGAATCTCAAATAGCCAAAAGATATTTAAGGAAATGTTCCACATCCTTAGCTATCGGGGAAATGCAAATCAAAACAATGCTGAGATCCCATCTTACACCTGTCAGAATGGCTAAGATCAGAAACACCAATGATAGCTCATGCTGGAGAGGATGTGGAGTAAGGGGAACTCTCCTACATTGCTGGTGGGAATGCAAACTTGTGCAAACACTTTGGAAATCAGTATGGCAGTTTCTCAGAAAATTAGAATCAACCTACCTCAGGATCCCGCAATTACCACTCTTGGGTGTATACCCAAAAAATGCTCCATCATACTACAAAAGCATTTCTTCAGCTATGTTCATAGCAGCATTATTTGTAATAGCCAGAACCTGGAAACAAATTAGATTCCCCTCAACAGAAGAATGGATAAAGAAAATGTGGCACATTTACACATTACTCAGCACTAAAAAACAATGACATCTTGAATTTTGCAATGTAAATGGATGGAAATAGAAAACACTATCCTGAGTGAGGTAACCCAGACCCCAAAAGATGAATATGGTATGCACTCACTCATAAGTGGTACTAGCTATAAACAAAGGACACTGAGCCTATAGTTCATGATCCTAGAGAAGCTAAGTAATAAGGTGAACCCAAAGAAAAACATATATAGACCCATGTTGAAATTGGAAACAGAAAAGATTGCCTGACAAAAATTGGGAGCAGGGGGTGGGGGAGAGGGGAAGGTGGAAGGGGATGAGGTAGGGAAAAGGAGGGTTGAGGAGAACTTGAGGGAATGGGATAATCGACATGGAGGAAGGACAGAGATGAGAGCAAGGAGAGAGAGAGAGAGAGAGAGAGAGAGAGAGAGAGAGAGAAAGAGAAAGAGAGAGAGAGAGAGGAAGGGAGGGAGGGAGGGAGGAAGGAAGGATGGAAGGGAGAGAGAGAGAGGGAGAACACATACACGTGTTACATGATTAATAAAATCCCAAGACAGATATTGATGTTCAACCTTGAAGGTCAGAAAGGTAACACAGTCAACCACTAGAAAGATCTTTTACATCTACAAAATATTCAGACCAAAAGGGAAAGAACCTGACTACACAAATCCTCAGACTCCACACTTCACTGGGTTTCTGTCTCTTCCCCTTTATCCTCTTCTCTCCACCCAGCCATATTGCTACTCTCTCCACTTCTCCAGTGCTGGTATTAAATGTGTGTGACTCCCAAACACTGGGATTAAAGGTGTGAAACACCACCACCTAGATCTGTTTCTGGATCGATTTTGTGTAGCCCAGGGTGACTTTGAAGAGATCCTTATGACTCTGTCTCTGAGTCCTGAGGTTAAAGGTGTGTGCCTCCACTCCCTAGTCTGTATAGCTGACTACTATGACTACTTTGCCCTCTGATCTTCAGGCAAGCTTTATTTATTAAAACACACACACACACACACACACACACACACACACACACACACACACACGAAGTTCCTGTTTGTCCTGTGTTAAATCCTCAAATCTCAAGTTTCCTTTTGTAATTAAGAATACGTTCCAAGCCGGGCGGTGGTGGCGCACGCCTTTAATCCCAGCACTTTAATCCCAGGCAGAGGCAGGCGGATCTCTGTGAGTTCAAGACCAGCCTGGTCTACAAGAGCTAGTTCCAGGACAGGAACCAAAAGCTACGGAGAAACCCTGTCTCGAAAAATCCAAAAAAAAAAAAAAAAAAAAAAAAAGAATACGTTCCTGTTTTTTGGATCTGATGCAAACTGCAAAATATGCTTTCAACCTAGACTAAACTTAGGGTGAGACAGCGAGCTTGCCAGTCCCAGGTGCACCCCCAAATACAGCTTGCTTTAATTTGACAATTGTGGATTTAGTCTTTTATCCTTGAGATTCTCAGGTTTAACAACATTCTGAACTTTCCAAAATGCAGGCCCATTTTACTCCAACCACCATTTCTACGTGCTCACTAGGGGAGGGATTGTATTCCGAGCTGCAGAGATGAGCAGGGTTTGGTTCTGGGCTGAGACTCTGGTTTCAGATACCATGGGTCTAGTTAGTGATTACATTTTACCTGTAAGATAGGAGACTAATTATTTAACTCTTCATGTTTACCTTCTCTGAAAAACAGGGTAATAAACTGCCCTTTTGGGAAAATAGGTTTCGACATAGTGGGGTATACCCCACTGCCCCAACCATGCAGGAACCTATACGAAAACTTACTTTGTTGAGACTCATGCTTTTGTTAGAGATATCAGTGTGGAGATAGGACAGAACATAGATGAAATGGGACAAAAAGTAGAAGAGTCTGAAGTTCTGGGGACCATTTAGAAGAAAGAATCTGTGAGCCAGTCAGTGTAACAGAGTGAGTTGAGGAGGTTGCTGATGTGTACATGTAAACTGTGTAACAGTCTCTATTTTCTTTGGTGCTTTTATATGCAGAGTATTTTAGTGGGAGCACAGTTATTCTGGGTTCTGTGTGCACCAGCAGAGCCAGAGGACTAGAGAACAACTGATTCTTGGACTCCACATGGATGAGTAGCCAGATACCATGTCTGCAAGGAATTGCTGTTGCGCTGGAAGAATGACATGTATGTACTAAAGCCATTTCAACCCAGATAGAATGAGTTTAGAATTACAATGGTTGAACAGAACACAAAGATTTATAGAAATGGGAATGACGATTCCTATGTATACAGAGATGTGAAAGTAGATTTGGGAAGGTTTCAGAGATCGGGTGCCCTCTTCTGACCCGAGGGCACTTGTACAGAGACACAGACCTCTCTTTCATTCATTCATTCATTCTTTATTTATTTAATTTATTTATTTAAGATTTCTGTCTCTTCCCTGCCACCGCCTCCCATTTCCCTCCCCCTCCCGCAATCAAGTCCCCCTCCCTCGTCAGCCCAAAGAGCAATCAGGGTTCCCTGCCCTGTGGGAAGTCCAAGGACCACCCACCTCCATCCAGGTCTAGTAAGGTGAGCATCCAAACTGCCTAGGCTCCCACAAAGCCAGTACCTGCAGTAGGATCAAAAACCCATTGCCATTGTTCTTGAGTTCTCAATAGTCCTCATTGTCCGCTATGTTCAGCAAGTCCAGTTTTATCCCAGGCTTTTTCAGACCCAGGCCAGCTGGCCTTGGTGAGTTCCCGATAGAACATCCCCATTGTCTCAGTGTGTGGGTGCACCCCTCGCGGTCCTAAGTTCCTTGCTCGTGCTCTCTTTCCTTCTGCTCCTGATTTGGACCTTGAGATTTCAATACGGCACTCCAATGTGGGTCTCTGTCTCCTTTCATCTCCTGATGAAGGTTAATATTCAGGAGGATGCCTATATGTTTTTTTGGGTTCTCCTTATTTAGCTTCTCTAGGATCACTAATTATAGGCTCAATGTCCTTTGTTTATGGCTAGAAACCAAATATGAGTGAGTACATCCCATGTTCCTCCTTTTGGGTCTGGCTTACCTCACTCAGGATAGTGTTTTTTATTTCCATCCATTTGCATGCAAAATTCAAGAAGTCATTGTTTTTTACTGCTGAGTAGTACTCTAATATGTATATATTCCATACTTTCTTCATCCATTCTTCCATTGAAGGGCATCTAAGTTGTTTCCAGGTTCTGACTATTACAAACAATGCTGCTATGAACATAGTTGAGCATATACTTTTGTTGTATGATAGGGCATCTCTTGGGTATATTCCCAAGAGTGGTCTTGCTGGGTCCAGGGGTAAGTTGATCCCTAATTTCCTGAGAAACCGCCACACTGCTTTCCAAAGTGGTTGCACAAGTTTCCACTCCCACCAGCAATGGATGAGGGTACCCCTTTCTCCACAACCTCTCCAGCAAAGGCTATCATTGGTGTTTTTTATTTTAGCCATTCTGACAGGTGTAAGATGGTATCTTAAAGTTGTCTTGATTTGCATTTCCCTGATCGCTAAGGAAGTTGAGCATGACCTTAAGTGTCTTTTGGCCTTACTAAATACTGTTAAGATTACATTCTTAAAGTCAGACACCAAGGTCCATTCCTTTATTTGGATGCCTCCTCCTTCTGAGACTGACCATCAAGGTCCAGCTATCAAAGTATTGAAGTCC